TTTACAATGTCCTATACTTACTAAATTTGGGGAGAAAGTAGTAGATCATATAAATATGATTGTGCAACAGAAGCTAAAATTATCAGAGGATAATACTCCCTTGAACTATGTACCTAGTACATGGAATTTGACAAGCGGAAAACATAAATGGATTCTCCCTGCCCTTATTATGGCCAAAAGACTGCTCTTGCAGCATTGGAAATTATAAATATACGGCCCCATTCACTCAATGGATTGAGGATCTGATTGCACTTGCCACCTGTGAGCAGACTGCCTATAGAAATAGACTTTGTATGGACAAGTATAATGAAATATGGGACTCATTTATACAAAATACACCGGGTTAAAAGAAACATGATAGTCATATAAGTGTATTAGAAATATACATGTACTTGAATAATATTTGCATAAGTATATATAGAATTGTAACTCTTTACTGTAAAAATGATACATTTTTTCCTTTTTTCTTTGTATTTTTTCACTTTTTTTTAAAGCACTATGTTTTTTTCTTTTCTTCGACAATGTACGTATCTCTATTATCTTTGTGTTTTGTTCAGTTTCTTTTTCTTTTGTTATTATTTTAACAGCAAATAAATAAATAAATAAATAAATGTGCTGGTTATCATTTATAAATCCCTTCATGGTGTCGGCTCCAGCTACCTGAGGGACTGTCTATTTCGATATATTTCAGCCCATCCAGTGAGCTCAGTAAGACTGGGAGCACTTTGGGTCCCATTGATTAAGCAATGTCATCTTACAGAACCCAGGAAGCATGCTTTCTCATGATGGCTCCTGCCCTCTGGAACGATATCCTCTCAGAGATCCATACTGCTCCCACTCTATTGATTTTTTGCAAATTTCTGAAAACTTGGTTATTCTCCCAGGCCTTGGGATAGGATGGCTGATAGAGCCCATTGGCTTTTGGTTAGGTTTTGCTTTGTTTTGTTCTTCTTATAGGTTATGGGTTTGTCTTCCCATCAGCCATATTTTTTCTTTGATACATGTTATTTTTAACTTTATTTCATTGTAAGCCACCTGGAGTCAGGCAGCCTCAAAATTGGAATATTAAATTAAGTTAAATATTCATAATTAAGAATATTAAAACATGTTATTAAAATATTTAATTTGTGAAATATTTACTTAAATTATTGAAAATATACAATTTAAACATGTTTTTTAAAAATTCTAACTAAAAACGTTTAACCCAAAATTGATTTTTAATACAATTTTATTTTAAAAAGATAAAAACAATACAAATATTAGAAAAGAAACAAAGAAAATAAGGAAGAATAGTGGATAAGAAAAGAAAGAAAGAAAGAGAGAGAGAGAGAGAGAGAGAGAGACCGCGCGCAGGTGGGCAGGATTATAAAGAAGCAGCTTCCAATATTTTTGACAGCAGTTACAAATGCATTTATATTTTACCCTAAGTTTACATAATAATTTCCTTCTTTCCATAAGCTTCAAACCCATAAATCACAAGCTGATTTTTCTCTTTTTCCAGCAAAAAGTCCATTAAGGGGTTTCCAGTCACTGATAAATGTAATTGTTGATTTTTCTCTAATCAAACAAGTTAATTTTGCCATCTCTGCTAGTTCTGTCATCTTCACCAACCATTCCTCTTTTGGGGGTATTTCAGACTCTTTTCATTTTTGTGCATATAATAGTCTTGCAGCAGTAATCATATATAAAAATAATCTTCCATGACTCTTTTGTAATTGAATGTCCTTTAATCCCAGGATGAAAAGTTCTAGTTTCAGTTGAATGTTGATCTTTAAAATTTTTGTATCATTATATGTATTTGAACCCAGAAATTTCTGGCTTTTTTGCAAGTCCACCAGGCTTGATAAAATGACCCTTCAAGTTGTCCACATTTGCAATATAAATTTGAAGTCCCTTTATACACTCTAGACCATCTTTCTGGAGTCATACACCAACAGTACATCATTTTATAAAAATTCTCTTTTAGGTTGTAATATAATGTAAATTTCAATCCTTTTAACCACATATTTCCCCACCGTTCCATCAGTATATTGTGTCCAAAGTTTTTAGCCCATTTTATCATACAGTCTTTGTTCTTCTTCCATTTCAAATTTCAATAAAAGTTTATACGTTTTAACAATTAAATGTCCATCATTTGTACATAATTCAACTTCAAATTCTGTCTTCTGCTGCTCAATTCCAAATGTCCTATTATCTACCTTAAATCTTTCTCTTAACTGTGCATATGAAAACCATTGAAAACTAAACTGTGCATACGAAAACATTGAAAACTACTCTGTAGCCAATTGCTCTTTTGATTTCATTCTCCATTTTCCTGTTCCAACAACTCTTGATAAGTTAACCATTTTTCTTTACCTACTGTTTCTTTCCTGTAAAATGCTTCTTGTGCTGAAACCCATAAAGGCATTTTCGGGCACAGTCTGGGTTTATATCTATTCCATATTCTCAATATGACATTTCTAATATATAATTCTTAAAATCTACATTAACCTTAACTTTATTGTATCATAGAAAATCATGCTATTTGAACCTCAGATTGTGTTCTTCTAATTCTAAAATTCTCTTATTTCTCAGCAAAACCCACTCTTTCATCCAGACTAAGCAGCAGGCTGCAAAATACAATTTCAAATCAGGCAGTCACAATCCTCCTTATTCCTTTGCATCTTGAAGTATTTTATATTAAACTCTTGGTTTTTTTCCTTGCCATACGAACTTTCTGCCATTGTTTAAATGGTACATCAGTTGTCATAATATGTATTGTTTGAAACAAAAACATCATTCTTAGCAAAACATTCATTTTTATCACAGAAATTCTCCCCAACAACAATTGTAATTTCTCCCATTGTAACATGTTTTTAATTTCATTTGTCGTCCAAGCAAACGCACTGCAGCAACCCAGAACAGCAGGAAAAGGAAACAGGCCACCTATTCAACATCTTCCAACAAAATGGATACCCACATAACTTTATCAAAAAATGCCTGACCACTCAACCCACTACAGCACAACCAATACAAGCTATGAAAAGGATAACACTGCTATACATCAGAAACATCTCATAAACAACCAACAGACTATTACAACCACATGGCATCACCC